CCTGCGTGGTCCCTTATATCTATTTCCACGCTGTCAAATGATTTCGTTCTGAGGTCGAAGTAAATCGGATGGTCAAAGTGAACTACTGACATCGTCCCGTGCTGTGCCTTAATGTCTACTGGGGCCGTGCGAAGGAGTGGGGCGCGTGTGTGACCGATAATTTGATCAGACAAAATGTCTATGTATACAAACATTTGTGAAGGCATTCCCAAGCTGATATCAACTGGTTTTACGCCAAAAATGTGTTCGTTTGCAGGATAGGGGCCCGTATGTGCCAATCCAAGCTGGAGTGCCAGGCGAGGTGAAAAATGTATTTTAGATTTCTCATCCATATCGAATGGAGAAAACTTAACGCGCTGGTCAGAAAGAAATTCGTAATACTCTGTGTCCTGAATGGCATCTTCCTCAAAACTTTGCAGAGCGTCACTCACACTTATCAGGAAATCTTTGGCGTTACTGTACGAGCCAGGTCTAACAGCAACCGTGTCAATGACACTGTCCGACACAATTGTTATTTCGTTTTCTCCCTCCACGACTTGTGCTATCGTGTTAGGGTAGTGCAGTTCAATGAGAGCTGCTTGCCAATGACCGTGCAGTTCCATGCGTTGGTCGAGTTGTGTTTTAAAATGGGATGTAGTATTGTCCGGATAAATTTTCGGACTAGCGTTACTTGGAAGAAAAGTATAAAAATCCATTATACTAAATTAGAATCCAAAATCCAGGAGCGACTTTTTTCAGGATAACCTCTCCAGTGAACAAAGTGCTGACGACTACCCTTTTTGCCTTTGGAGCGCACTATATATGCTATTTTGAACGTCTTGGGCTTGGTGACCTTCTGAAGCTCTGCCTCATAAAACGTGCCTTGAATCGCATCTTTATCGAGATCTTCCAGCCTGTACACCGGCATCGAATGAGGAATGACCTGAACGATTTGAAATATCTCCTCGCTCCAGTTCCACGTGTACCCTTTTTCAAAGGTTTGTTTTTCACGACTGATTCGGACATAGTCTCCTACTTTAAACTTTGTTTTGTTATTTGTGGGCTTAAGTCCATGGTACAAGTTATTATATACCTCCAGGACACGCTCGGGTGTAACGTCCACTGGCCTCATTTTAATAGAACGGTGATAAGTATGGTTGTATGCACTCACAACATCAGACAGAAGCCCATCAACATAATTGTAATTTCCAGTGTGTGTAAACCGCTTAAACAGTTTCGACTTGATGGTGCGCTGCCAGCGCTCCACTACGGAACATTTTATGTCAGGATTATGTGTGTGAATGTACAAAATGTCATTATCTTTCAGAAATTTTTGAAA